AGTGTTTAAATTGTGCAATTTATGTGATGCTCATAATAGTCGTAAAACTCAGCTAGAATTAGCGCTAGAATTATATTTTTAGATTTCTATATATTTGTCCATTTATCTTAACTTGTTAACTTTTTATTTATTTAGCAATAGCTTTTTAATTAATTTTAATTATAAATATTTAGTAAAGTATTAAACATTTTACACGTTACAAACCTTGAAAACACTGAGGCATTGCATTCGTACGTAAATACCAGAAAATTGACTGAAATAATAGCGAGGTTTGTAAATCTACTGGAGCCGAGACGGAGATAACGAGCCGGGATGTCTTCGTAGAGTACGCTTCTTCTATGGTTATACACTTTACGGATATTTAGTTTCGGTTTAAGTTTGTCGGAGGAAAGTTTGCCTCTGTCGCCGCTGGCAACTCGATACGCCGGATTCGCCGTGGAAATCAGCCGTTTTTAAAAAGTCACCAACCGGACAATTGTTTAAACCTAACTCTAACGATTGTTCAACTCGTTAAGGATCCATTAGGCGCTTCGGACTCGGTAGACCGCGGAAATTTTCCGCCGCTCGGAGTCTCTCTCGTTCCCTCGCTTCCTGTGCTTTAGCGGTGGCAAATTAATTCAAGTTTTCCCATCCGAGTTGGTTATAGTAAGTTTTTGCTAACGGCCGTTCTCCCCCTGGAAAATTTCCCTGTAGACCGTAATAGCTACGCCGCTATGTTTAAGAGCTTTTAGTTAGGTTTGGTGAACAATAAATCGCTGTTATCGAAAACAGCGTTTACTCAGCGGATATATTAGAGGTATGTCCGATAAAAATTTCAGGAAAATGCTAATTAGTAGAAAGATAGAAAATATATTTAAACTCTGAAAGAAATATTTTATGGATTATTAATAAATAATTCCAAAAAGTTTAACAATGTTAAATGAGTGAAAATTAAGTAAATGAAGATAGTAGCGATTAGTCATTAAAGTCATTAATAAATAATATTAAATTATCTTGAAGAGTTATATTTAAGGAAATTATTAGAAAAGATGAAATAACAAAAGAAACATTTTATCAAAGGAATGAATAAGCGATAAAATATATCAGTCATAATTAGTAAATAAAATAAATAATAATTTAATTATAATGAAACAAATAATAATATAGAAATAATAATATAGAATATAAATAAATAATTAAAAAAAATCATTACGTTGTAAAATGCATCTATTATTGATATACAACTATTTAAATGTATAAAAGCATTTTTATTCGTTTTGCTTATCGTATCAACATTACGGCAATTAAACCATAGAGAGTTAAATTCGTTTTTATGTCATGTATTTCTTTGAATTACGATATAAGTTGTGCGACACATTTTTTACATCGACTATTTGCTTAATGAGAATTAAGAGGATTTTAGTCAAGGAGATAGAAGATTTAAAAGATTGCAGAAAAGGTTGCATGATTCTTGCGTTTTAGCTTTTTTCTGACTTATGTTTCTATTTCTTGACGCTTATATCTGTTGTTTATGTTTTTTTAATCCGTTGTTTATACTTATGCTTTCTTAATCTGTTTATATTTTCTATTTATACTCTCTTTTGTTGGGCGATTACCCTAATCTTTTTTTAAATAGATAATTTGTCTCTCAAGCTGCATAGATAATCTTATCTTCTACGTGCATGTCATATATGTATCAATTATTGAAAATAAAATTTCTGAGAATAAGACAAATAGTAAAGATACAACTGTAAATGATAACTGTAGATAATAAATACGATAGATACGAATAGATACGATTGTAATAGTAACTGTAGAGTAAAGATACTACTGAGAATTTCATGAGATATAATTTTAAATAAAGACTTGGAACTACATATTCGGCTATTTCGTAATTTTTTTAAGTATTATAATTTTTAAATATTTGATGTAAAACATGTTTAAATTGATTGACAATATTTTTATCAAATTTTGCTTTATTTCTTATTATTCATTTTTGTCACTAATAAATAAAAAGATATAATAATTTAAAAACTTTTAACTGTACCTACATAACATTTTTGTTATTTATGTAAATTTTTTATTTTATATTTGATCACGGTTTTATCTTTGATATACACGTTGTATCGATATTATAAAATCAATAGGCGTGATTTTCGAGATGAATACGAGAAAATATCGATGATATCTCGATGAATTTTAACATCTCTACAGTTTTGAGTTCGGTAACGCCTCGAGCCTCTGCACGCTAATTAGCCCGTAGTTTCACGCATGTTTGACTTTCTCGACTAACGTAACTCGTTGTCGGAAACGAGAGGTGTCTCTGTCGTGTATCGCCCTGGCGAAATCGCGGTGCAAATTACCGAGAGCAATTAAGATCGTTAATTACCGACGTCAAAGGTGCATGTCGCTCTTCTCTAGTACAATGGAAATTCATGAAGAAAGATACGCGATTCTCTTTATCAGATATCGTAGCCCATCATCTTTATCGTAACTGACGTACAAGCCCACCGGAGGTGAACCGGAGATGCGATATTACACCGTTGTAAACTATTCGTTATTTTGAAATACTAAATTGCTATTATATATTAATCGAAGGATCCCTTGCGCGACGCTGCTTTCTTAAGCAATTCTTTCCCAGCGCATTCTTGCGTCAGGCAGTTTCTTTCCCGAGAAATCGCATGCTCGCGGTCGATTCGATACTTATCGGTGCACGTGTCACCTGGTCTACTTTCATTGTAAGCGTACAATCATTACTCGTACTGCTTACTCATCGCCAGTGGCTCATACAATCTCAGTGAACTTTATCTTGTTCTTTTCGTGGAACAAGTGCTTTTATGCGATATTGGACTCCCCGATTCGTCATTTAATGACGCGTATTGTCGGATCGAAGTTGCTATAGCCAACGAGGCTGCAACTACGCCGCGTTGAATAAACAAATCGATAGCATTCATCGTTTCTTTTAAACTTCTCCGAATACTCGAGGCAGAAGACTGTAATATTGTTCTTTCAGTTCACTTCGAGTTGTTGTTCATTCGTGCAAAGAGAAATTAGAATACCGTGAGAAAACAAGAACATTTCTTTGCGTTTTAAGACAGCATTTTCTTAAAATAAAATAAATAAAATAAAAGTTTGAAAATGATAATTTAAATTATAATTGAATGGTACGCTGATGATATATTTATCAAAATTAACTTAGTTAATGAATTTGAAAATACAATAATTATTACCGTTAGTGTCAAAATTATTATATTTCATTGCGTTATTTCAAATACGTTGAATTTTTAATAGTATAATTTAAAATTAAGAAATTACACGTATTCATATAATCTCTCTTTATATTCTTAAATAATATGCAGGGGAAAAAACCGAAAGTTTAAAAATTTCTATATTATTGAAACTCAATAATTCATTCAATAATTTGTCGAATAATCAATTATTTGATGAGCAAGAAGTCAAACTTTCATAGAGAATAATTAGAATGCTATTCTTAAATATCAAGAGAAAGAGAAGAAACACTGAAGCGTTTATCTATTTTTATTTTGTATAAAATCTTATTTATAATTCTACGTACGAAAGAATGTAATTGGTTTCTGATATTGAATTTATACGAATGTATCAGTTATATATAAAATATATTAAGCAAAATGAAAACAACAATTGAAATTTTTCCTGACTGAATTATTTCTAAAGATCGCGCAGAGTGTCTGAAATTTTTGCACGCAGATGTTTCTAATCTTCTTAGGGGGCAGCGCGCCTATAAACCGAGATTGACATTGAGTGAAATTGGCGGGGGGTAATCCGGGAAACAGGGGGAGAGCGGGGAAAATGGGTCTTCAGGAAATAAGAAAACTTTTCTTCTCGATCGGCCGTTACGCTTCGCGTTGCGATAAGAGACGAAAGAGAGATGATCGCCGCCTCCTTTTTTTTTTTTCCTGTTCGCCCGTTCATCCACCCTTCGCTTTTTCCAATGCTCGCCGGCTGCACGAAGTCATTTTCTTAAAAGGGGGCCGAGATGCGTCGGGGGGCACGTTTCAAAAGCACCTGGTTTTCTCTCGCTCGATAAATCGCACATTCCCCCGGTTTCGCTGCCGCCACGGTCTCGTTACTTTCGTCCTATTACCTTTCGTTTCGAATCCTGTGAGAACGCGAACTGCCGAGCGATTGGTAAGGAGCACCCTTGTAAGGAGCACCCTTGATCACGTAGAGATGCTTATATTTTATTAACGAAATATCATTTAAATATCTTTCTTTGATGGAACTTTTGAAATGTTAGTTTACGTAACTGCAAATAGTATTCGTTAAATCGAGAAGAGAAATTCATTATTAATGTTATATCCTTTATTTGCTTTCCTTTATTTTCCTTTATACGTAAATATTTAAAATATTCTTTTACATAATTTCTGGAAGTGTATTTTTTAGTGCGCACATTATTATCTTTATTATTATGCTTGATTGTTATCGTGCGCTCTCGGCAATAATTGTTCCGTGTCGTTGCACTAATTGCACCTTTCCCTTCGATCGAAAGTAGATTACATTGCATGCAAGAGGTGCTCTCACCTTGAGTTCGAAGAGATAATCGTTACAATTATGCATGGTGAATACTGTCTCTTGCGTGTGCCTCGCATTTTTGCTGCAAATAATAGTTACACCAGATAAATGTCTACATATGAGAGGATAAATTAAAAGAAGAAATTTATAAGACTTCCCAAAGCAATATTATAATTAGAAAACTCGATAGCAAAAAAATGAAATGGAATACATTAAAACTAACCTTTTTATTCTAGAAACTCAACAAGTTTTACATAATTGATAAACATAATTGATTTAACATAATTGATAAACAAGGAAAATTATTTTCTCTTTTACAAGTACGATTATTCCTAAGGAGTGTAGAAGTTGTTTTTAACTACGTCTAATTTACAATCTGAAAAATTTATTTTACTCGTTATAAAAATCCTTTATGGCTTCAAGTACGCTTTATTGTATGCTAACCATCAACCTTTGGTTACTTTTTGCAGGCCTGGGCGAGGCCCAAGGAAGAAGCCGCCTCCGCCACAATCGCCGGACAGC